GACCAAATGTTATCAAACTTGGGAATCGTGTAAAGGAGGTTATGAGAATTTATTTTCCGCGGAAAAAAAAAAAAAGCGTTCAAAAATTCACCACCAGGGCGAAAATGGCGCTGTATACAATATTGTTAAATGAAATAAGACATGAAAACATCTGTTTAAAATGTGTTTAATAGTTTCCGAAACGTGTTACAAAGCATGCTCAATGTAGCGTCCAGCATTTTCCGAAAGCAAGTTAAATCCTGTTACTGCATTCTCAACAGCAGCTCTTAGCATATCAGGAGGAATATTACGAACATGTCAGTGTATCACATTTTTCATTTCTGCCAAATTGCTTAGATTATCACCATAAACAGTGCTTTTGAGATAACCCCATAGCCAAAAGTCTATGGGTTAAGGTCAAAGGTTAAGGTCTGGTGGGAAGAGGGGGAAGTGTTGGCCTATAAGACGTTCATTCGTGAAATGTTGCCTAAGTAACTGTGCGACACACGTGAGGTTAGGCCCAGCTCTGCGTAAATATCGTAGTATCTAAAATGCCACGTTACTGCAGTTCATGTATCACGAAACATTTTAACATTGACTCTAAGTGAGCTGCAATCACAGTGGTCCAGCTGTCGACTGCTCTTCAGAGAAAAATGGTTCAATTATAAAACTAGCTGTCATTCAACACTAAACGGTGTGGAATGACTGTTATGCAATCGAATGCAGTAGGAGAATGCAATGGAACTAGGTAGATAGCATGAGGGACTTTCTTTCGGCCCAAATCGATTAAAAGCGTTTTTGAATCAGTATCTTCATGTTTTAGGGCCGAATTCATGGTTCAAAAATTACAAATTAGCGATCTGTCAACCAAAAACGATTTCCAGATTGTACGCACTTGTGCGAGTGATTTTGCGATCTCACATTTTCTAATCGCTAATTCGTGGTTTTCACGGACGAATTTCTCACTTACACGGATGGCGCACTCGACTTTTATCGAATTTAACGCCTTTAAATGATATATTGCTTACTTCAAAGTTTTCTTAAGGGTATACAACATATTAAACCCGTGTAACAAAAGGTTAAGTTAGATTCCGACCCATATTTCGTTTAACAATATTGTATACAGCGCCATTTTTAACCCTGGTGGTGAGGTTTCGAACTTCCTTTTTTCGCGGAAAATAAATTCCCATGACCTCCTTTACACGGTTACCAAATTTGATAACATTTGATCCAGTAGTTTTCCTTTTATGACAGTTTCAATGTGGAACTTTAATTATAACTACTCTGTTTATTATTAAATTTTAATTTGAAGCTATGCGTTATATGTATACCATGCGCAAATTTTTTGCTTTTATGGAAAAATAAAGAATCGAAGCAAATATACTTAGGGTAATGGACCAAAACTGAAAAAATTTCCCCTCCCTCCGAAAATCAAATATTGAAACTTCGACCTTGAATTTATTGGGTTATCGAAATATTTAATTTGACTTATCTTCTAAGTCCTAGTTCCGACAACAATTCCGTCAAAAATTCCGAATAACTTAAGCTGAAGTAAAAGATTTAGTATATATTCACTGTATGTTAATAATGTAATCAGAGTGTAATATAAATAGATTATAGAATTTGGGCTGATGCAACTTTTTGTCTGACTGCACAACATGTTATGGAAGAGAAGGCTTGTAGAGATCTGTTTTTGACATGCCTCTTAAATTAGATGTCATACTCCTTTTGTCTCTTCAATGTCAAAAACATTTTCTTTGAGAGGCAACTTTAGTTTTTGGGAAAGAAAAAAAAATCACAAGAAGACAAATTTGAAGAACATGCAGGACGATTGAGTACACATACTTATTTTCGGAACACAAGCGGTTCTCCGAATGGTTATTGAATAATGAAAAGATGCATTATCATGCAATGCAAAACATTTGGAATACGTTTTCTGACTGAATAACATAAGATTAAAAGTCATCTGCTTAATTCAGAGCCATTTACAAGTCAACTACTCGGCAATTGCAGAATCGTTTTGATCCTGAGCTTGTAAGACAAACCTAATATCACTGGATTTAAACACTTCTTTAATCTTGCGAGGACATACCTTCTTTAGTTCATATTCCAAGAATATTAAGTGAATACAATTATTGCAAAAGAAATTGAATATTCATTTGCACTACGGCTTGGTAGTTAACTAACGAATTAACAAAACTTTAATTCTGCTTTTTGCGTCTAAGAATACAACAATATTTTTTAAATATTTACAAATAAAATATTAAACTGGAGATTTACTTGGAGCCTCATCAGTTGCCTAGCATTTGAAGATTGTTAAATACTAATTGTTTGATGCTAAGTCTAACCCAGGCTGCATGTTTGGTTTTCATAGTTTTCTATGTTCTCCTTACAAAGGTTCTCTATGAAAGCATCTTAATCAAATAGCTCCCATGTTGTTTCTATGTTCAAATAACCAACTAACTTAGTTTAAGGCGCGATTTCCAAGTGAAGTTACTAGCAAAACTCGAATACTCATTAAAAATCATGTCGCTTGCCAATCGGGAGTAAAATGAAAGATACGGCGCCAATAATTGAATTGCTGTTACGGTACGCTGTTTCTAAACTTAGATGGTCATTCCTTAATTAAATAGCCCACCAGCGGCCGAGTGGTAAAGACGCTGAACACTGGTAGTTCGGTCTGAGGTTCGAATCCCGCTAACGGGCTGGCCGCATGGGCGTTTTCGTGGATTTCCCCATGTGTAACGTGTATACCAGCCAGTTTCCCTTAGAAAGTCCTCCACGAAGGCATCCCTTCCTTTAGGCAGATAGCCCTCGTGTGCTTTGCCATAATTAAATAATTCAATTCAATACTTAATTAAATATAATTGATTTGTAACTTCTACTAGAGTTGGCGGTAAAAATTGAAGTTTAAATAAATAATATCGTGTGCAATCTTGTTTAATATAAAATTTAAAATATTTGCATTCAGACAGAAAGTTTTTTGAAATATTTGCAGTTACTTTATAAGAAGGATTTATTAATAACCGTAATAATTACTTATTATACTACTGATGATCAGGATTCAAGTTCTTGACAATTACGTTCTAAATTAGAATTTTAAGGATTGTCCACAGAACCTGCTGACTTATCCAGCCATTAAGTAGCTGCAGATCATTTCTACATAACCATTGAACTTCCATTAATTCAATCTCTAGAGAGTTGTTGCATATCATAATTTGACTTTTATAAAAATGATTATTCTAAATCTTATATTCCTATAAAAATACACTGTGATTTAAAAATATGGATGATAGTATCAGCCGCTCTTTCAGCCACTTCATAAGCAACAGTTTGTTTAGAAATAAATTATGCAGTTAATGTCATAAAATATTTTCATAAAATTCAAATAAACATCAAATGAAAATTCTCAGTTTTAGACGATTCGAATTAAGCGAAGTTAAAGTAAAGTAGCAGACGATAAAACGCCGAAGGTAAAAATTTACTCTTACAAAAATTTACTCTTATTTTTTTTTTTTTTTTTTTTTTTTTTTTTTTTTTTTTTTAAGGAAGAAAGAGGAGAGAATTTTAAAAAATAGTTAAAAATTTGAATAATATCATCTATAATTTTAAAAAAAAATAACTTTTCATATAGTATTAATAAATATTTATTACGCATCTTTGAGAGAAACAATATCATATTATTAATTCTCCGTAAAATTTTACTTGAAATTTAAGTTAAAAATAGCTGTGGCAATTCACTGTAACAAAAATCCATAAACCACATTTGGCGTTATTATCGCTCAAAAAAAAGATGCCAAATTTCAAAACGCGAAAATATGTAAATTCGTGTATATCGTAGAAAATTTTGAATAAAAAAGTCTAATTTTTTGCAGATATGCTTAAAAGTACACCTACTTTAAGATGATGGTAAAACTTTTATAGGTTATAATTCAAAATTTTTTTCGAAAAATTTATAAAACTTATTTAAAAATAGAAATTTTAAAAATAAAACACAAAAAATGGGTAAATTTTATTTGGAATGAACCTAAGTTTCGAAATGTGAAAGGAAAAATCAAAAAAGTTTAATAAAAAAAGAGATATTAATAAATATTTGCCAAATTCAATTAACATTGAGGAGCTAAAATTTTGAGAGCTAATATTTTTAAAAACTACTCGTACGAATTTTTACAAAACTTGTTATTCTGGCATAATTTGAGTCGTAGAATCGAAATATGGAAAAAAAATGGTATGTTATTTCAGAAAAAGTCCGATTTTGTGTCAAAATACCTATGTTAGAATAGTGCTATATATAAATCTAATATATATCCTAAGTCGCGCTTTCGAGACATGAAAAACGCAGTTTGAATTTTGTCAATCGGCCCAGTAGAACTGGAGATATAGCACTGTCCCATTTTTTTTTTCTTTTTTTTTTTTTTTTCTTTTCTTTTTTTTTTTTTTTTCTTTTTCTTTTTTTTTTTTTTTTTGAGCAGTGTACATACATACCGTATCGTACATTTACGTACATATCACATATTATTAAGCGTATATAACGTATTACATTTAACTGTACGTATACATCGCTCGCACCCCGCTTCCCTCTGTTTCCGCAGAAATGTCACCAAAAATCCACACTTGGAAGCTTTCGATAATATGCAGGCTTGAATGACATATCTTAGATTCTTATATCAGTCCCTTCTCTATTTAAAGGTATAATCCGAGATGCACTTCAGGGGTGTTATGAGCACAGAAATGGTTGAGCGTAAGCGTAAGTATATCAGAGTCCAGTGAATTCAAAATTAAGTATCTAATTAGAATTCTGATAGGACGATAAACGTATCTTGAAATTTTGAAAAGATCTCGATTTTTCAGTGTTTGTCACCTTTAGAAACGATGAAGAAATTTACGAGGATTCAATTTCAATATGACATAAAACCAATTCTCTTTTTTCTCATTAGTCCAGTTCTTTAATCCTTAGTTCTAGCAGTAAAGATGAAAAAATTAGAGTGTGCACTTATTGCTTTCTTTTTTAAATGTCTTACATTATGCACGGTGTTGTAAGAAGGATTCCATATCATCACTGAATGATCAACTCCTCCGGTGGCAACACAGTTAAGTCTCGCACAGTATGCGAAAGAGTTGATGCCACCTGGTGACTGAAAACTAAGACTTTCATTCCGATCCAAGTGATGAATCAGCATGGCTCTTTTTGTGTGTACGGAACAGGAAATGACAGCGCAGAGATTAGGAATATACTGGACCTGGTGGTTAAAGAAAAAAATGTGATTAATTACATTGAGCAACAGCCAATTGCATTTGAAATGAAAGTAACTAAATTTTAATTATCTTATTACAGTCTGCATGCATATAATATATAAAATTATTTATAAATTTGAGAAAACAATTTATTAGAAATAATGCAGATGCAAACCAAATACAAGGTTCTCCTTCCCCGCAGTATAAAATAATCAATAAGAAAAACTTGAAGTTTCTGGGTTGGACGTCAACTCGCTTAAGGCGAGCACGTGTTAACATTAACAAAATTTCGGTCGCGGTAGCGATGGTTATGATCTGATAAGAAGGTTTGTTGGTTTATAATGCTATATATAAATAGGTATTTCTTTGTTAAAGTAGCCACCGCGTTTAATCGGTAAAACTGGTAGATTAAATAACCAAATTTAGGAGGAGTTTTTTTTTTTTTTTTTTTTTTTTTTTTTTTTTTTTTTTTTTGAAGGAAGGGAGGTTGTTACAAAGCTGGTTATAATCTGTTTTAAACATTTTTTTTTCTAATGCTTGCTAAAAATATGACATGAATTTAGCTAAAGGTTTACTGAAAAGGAAGATTATTCACTCCACCTTGTCGTTTCACTTCACAGTAAGTAATAAGCTGAAAGTACTTGTTTCTTAACAAATTTTGAATTAAACAAAGCGTACGAAGAAGTACTATACTTTACCTTTTGTATGGGTGTAAAGTGGTTTTTTGCGGAATACTGGCATTGTAATCCCTTTACCTTTCCTTTCTGTATAGTGTCGAAAGCGATGATGTATGGTCCGAGGTGAAGGGCTTTCCTGTGCAGCTTTGAAAAGAAATCAGAACTCATATTTAAAACAAAAGCATGCCCAGAAAAATCACCGCATACTAGCTTCTCCGACATATAACAATCTAGACTCACAACGATGGAAGGTAACCATGCAATGGAGAATTTATGTTCAAATCTGAAATCAAGTTTAATAACGTTTCATTAATATTTCGTTAGCCTTGGCATTTAAGTTTTGATGAAAACAGCACTTAAGCGGTCATTATATTGGTATTTCAATAAAAACAAAAACTAAATCCAGTTCTTTTTTTTTAATCAAATAAAAAAACCTGATTACAAAATCATGCCATCCGTAGAAATTGCAGCATGCAAAGTCCGTTAGTCGTGTTTTGTTTATTGTTCGGCATAATTAAATAAATAATATTAAAAATCATACAGTTAATTTAAAATTAAAATATACATACTTTATAATTTAAAAAATTAAATAACTAATTTATTACTCAATTACCATATTTTTTTAATCACATGGAAGTTCTAATGGCATTTACCGACGTAAGATGAACATTTCTCAGCAGTCTCATTAATACCATCTTTCAACAGCTTTTTTTATGTTGTAAATTTCTTGCTTTGTGTATCGTCTTCATCCTTATCCTTCTCATTCTCCTAATAATCTTTCTCTTTTCCTTGTATATGCCTGTTTGGTTCGTCGTCATCTTTATAGAATGTGATGGAAACAGAATTGCACCTTCTGTTCACAAATACTAACTCTCTCCGAATATCCAACTAAGCCGAACGTGTTCTAATAAATCCAAGGGAACCTTCCGCACTCTTTTCTTCGTTTACGAATATGATCATAGGCCACAATTTATGGCAATAACTACGTAAACTAATTCTTTACATGTTTGCAAGTAAGACACAAAGTAAATCTGGCTTCTTTTAATGTGCGTTGCATCTGAAAGTCATAGACACTTACTTCAAAGTTCATACCTCGATGCATAGAAAGGAACCGGTAATTCATCTTTATTCTATATAATTCCTTGGTCCAAAGTTTGGATAAAGCTTTTTATATTACACTCCAGAAACATGACATAAATGTTTTCCGTGTTTAAATCTTAAAATTTTTATTCCATTATATATTTTTCATCTCGTATACCTAAATTCCAGATTTAAATTTAGACTTCAAAAAGGTGCCGTTATTTTGATGTTGCTGGTATTATTGGTGAACTGGGTGCCGGTTAGGAGAGATAGTACTGTATTAAATAAAGCAGGAAGAAATACATTGCGTATTTCCTCAAAATATATTTATATGATTAGAATTGATTCTGCAGTGCTTAAAAGTTGCTCTTTCAGATTCCGACACAAGAAAAGAAGAATACTTGTTTTCTTCCTGTAATCGTAAATATAATGTCTTCTATAAAGAGTGTCCGTAATCCTTATCCGACCTTTATTTTCGCAACCGTCCGTCTAGACATATACTTCTAACTACCAAAATGTTTTAGATAACTGAAATACTCATATTCTGGAATTTTTAAATTTAAAAATTATTTTTCTAAAAATTAATGTTTATACCCATTCTAAATATATGAAAACTAAAAGGATTTGCTTCCATACAAAAAAAATTGTTAAGAAATCTAATTTCAAAGTATGCATTTTCGCTAATGTTTGGAGTGCCAGAAACCAAATCTGTTATTATCTTTGAGGGATCTGTTAAAAAAATAGATAAATATAGCTTGACTTTTCTTTCCGTTTAAAGTGTTTGGGATAATCCTTATAATTTGTTAATGTGTAACATTCTTTAATTTCCAATTTTGTTACATTTCATGGGCCGAAAGCATTTTCACACAAGTAAGTTGCAAGTTTCCAGACTCTAAAAATATTTTAATAATGTTCAAGTGTAGTTTTTTTTAGTATCATAACTTACACAAAGTACAAAAAATTCATTTGACTAGAAATTTTTTAATTTCTTATTTATGCAAATACTGTCACGAGTTGTGCCAGCCTGAGACTTGAAGCCTGAAACTTTTTTCTAGAACATAAATTCTATAAGAATAAATCTTTTTTAAATAAATAAAATTTTTTATGAAGAAATTTTTTTTGATTAAATCTTTGATGGAGTTTTCAAATCAATGCCTTTCACTTTATCCATTAACACAGAAAACTTTATCTCAAACTGATTTTTATTTTTAGTTACAATATTGTGTACTACGCTACTCAAATTTATGTAATTTGCTATTCAATTTGTGTAAGAACCCTGAATTTTAAGTAAGACTAACCTGAAATTTAGATTTAGGTATCCCTGCCAATTTCTGTCAGAAGTCTTTTTTTTTTTTTTCCCCTTTCTTCTTATTCTTTTTTTTTTTTTTTTTTTTTTTTCTCTCTTTTTAAATAAGTTTTTACTAAATATAACTAACTATAGAGACCGAAATACCTTATAAGAAGTTTAATCGTAGAAGAAGATCGTCTTATAAGAAGTTCGTAACTTTTACGAAATTAACGTTTTTTAATTTTAAAATGCTGAAATAGGAATATTTGTATCCTTTTAAAACATTTCAGGGAGTGAAAATGAATATCAACGACCAACGATTGCATAAATAAAGTGCGCAAAAGTACTTTTATGAACATTGCGTATGATTGCGTATGCGAGGGAACTGGTGATAATTCGTGATTCCCGTTTCGAAATAAACTTACAACTAGCACCCGAACTAAAATGACGGGAAAGACGATAATTCTCCAATATCCGGAATTTTCGGCTGAGTCCCCTTCTGCAAAATTGCCTTTTAAGTGGGGAAAAATGTAACGAATTTTCACCTTCTTTACCTTGCGACTTCGTGCCGTAATTGGAAAGCGCGTCCGGCTAGCAATCTGGAGGTCCAGCGATCGAGTCCTGGTAGGTCATTGCTGATATTTCCTGTTTCGAAATAAACTTAATGACTCTACAACTGATGTTTCAAAAGTCAAACAATACCTTCTTCTACTGCTGCGAGACCGAAAATGAGACGACAGAAATGCATCGTGATATGTTAGCACCGAAGCGACACATAAAGATTTCTAACCAAATTACAGGAAGTTAAACATCTAACATCATCTGCAGAAGGAAAAGTGAACTATAAAACCTAAAAATCAAATTCACTAAAGACTAAAACATAATCTTCAAATTTCGTCATTGACTAAATAAGCCTTTTATGTATTTTAAGGGCGTCTAAAGAATCTGTATACTAAATAATAATTTTAGCAACATAAAATGAAATATGGTCTTCAAGAAAGGTGCACAATGAATGATTTATGAATTTCATTTTTCCGGGCCTAAACTTCATGTTCATAAAATTCGTAAATATTCTTGAATGATTTATGATTTCGAATTAATGAAACCAAAATTCCTTGCGCCATTATTATACCGACTGTACAACAGTGGTGAATGGTTGGTATGACATCTTTAAGTGGAATGTCGCAGTAAGAGAAAGTTGGCTTTGGCAATCAGATATCTAACTCAGGAGCTACAAAATGTTTAAAACTCTTTTGCAAGTGGTAGGCCGATATTGGTCGCCAGAGACGGCCAGCTTAGAGAAACCTGGCTTACTTAACGAAATCGTGAATTAAATAATGCTCAAAATATTAATTATACCGTAGCTTACTAAATAAAAACATTCCTATTTCGTACGAAGTGAGCCGTATGCATCGTAACAGTTCCTGTGTTATTCAGAATATATAGCTTGAATATTAATGACAACTGTAGCAACTGCAATTTGTAAGAACTTAAGAGTTAATAAAAATTCGACTCACTTGTACATGGTGGCTTGAAAGAACCGTATGTCTCCTGATGTCGTAGATACTGCTACCAACTTTTTTCTCGGTATGCATGCAAGTGCAGTTGCCCACGTGCTTAATTTGCCTATGAAAAGTTGTCAATTATAGAAAATATTGGCATCTTTAAACAACAGTATGAGCTACATTTCATTAAATGCACATATCCATTCCTCCAAGATAATTTTCCAAAACAAATTATTCGATTATTCCTCACTAGATTACGGCAAATTTGCTAACCTGTAAAACTGCCCTATCTTTTAGCTTGGCCTTCTAAAATATATTTCATAAAGAAAATGAAACACTAAAAATTTTTATCACGGGGCTAAAATAATTTCAGGATCTATTTAGATAAATAAGCTACATGATACCGCAACAATCACTCAATCACTTGATCTGCATAATAAAAAGGGGAAGCATTCTGTCCCAACAAATGGTGACATTCTATAGGTATTTTAGAAACATTTGGATGCACCAATATCGACAAAATAATTTCTCATTAGTAGATAAACAGGTTGACAACTAAGCCATCACTGTAAAGACTGCCATCAAACACCAAATCACCGTAATAAATGTTTTCAAAGTTGCTGTACCAAAATAACCTTAAGTGAGGAATGACACAGTTTTTACTGTAGGTTATTTTTCCTTTTCCGATTTACCTCGGTGATGATGGTCAATCATTCAGACTTCAGAGGTAACTTGGTAACTGGGACTATATATTTAATGGATGTGGTAATAGTATGCCGATATGTTGATGAGGTGGTTTAACTCAGTACATTACCATTTGTTTTAGGCCTAAAATGCGATATTTTTCAGCTGCATTATGTTCACATGCAGCAAATAGGCAAGTATCCTTTCTTTCAAAATTTAAAGATGGACTTTCTTGCTTGGACTATTCCTTGATCATATCTTTAAGTCAGCGTGATGAGTATGCCACCCTTTATTTAATCATGACGCTTCTTACACTTTTTACTTCTATCTGCCTGTCACATTTTTGCATCAGCTTGAATCACTCTGGCATGGTGTTGCAGTTTCTATACGAAGTGATATATTTCACTAAATGTACTGTAATAATCACAAAGAACTGTTTGAATCTTAAAATAATCATTCAAGTTGCTTCAAAAGGGAAATTAAATTATTAATCCAAAGACTATATTCCACTTTCAGCAATGGATTAATAAATTAGAATATTTTAGTTTCCACAATAATCGTGTTCAGTATTTTATTGTACAATCAGCAATTTTTTTAAACAAATCAGATTATTTATCATCTCTCATCTTATAAATTACAATTGTATTTATAACTTTATATAGACTACTTACAAGATATAGACTATTTACAAGATCATATGTTTTGTTGAAAAGATAGGATGTAAATGGAAGCTTTTTAAAACATCAAAAATTTCATTCTTGTGCTCTGATAACACATAAATAGATCTGATAAACACATAAATGAAATAGACATGTTTTGGATGGATCTGACGTTGGACATGAATTTCTATTTGTAATCAACGTAGCTTCGAAGATGACTATGGAATCGAAACTATGCTGACTTTACGGATCTTTTGCTCAAGATACTTTTGTTTCAAGAACAAACATCTTCATGTTTTGATTCAAGAGCAAACATTTATGATCAAATCACGGTAAGAATTCTGCAGAATTTCTGAAAGAAAACCTCTTTAAAGCAAGTTTTCGTAGTTTACTTTAAGTTTGAAACCGTGAAAGCACAAATTGTTTAATATCTGAAATATGACATGCCAGTTGCATAAAAATACTTTTAAAATACTTTTGAATTCTGATTGTAATTTAATAAATATTAAATATAAGTTACTGATATTAATATTTAACATATTTTTTTCGTTCTGTCGCGCTGTCGGATACAACAAAATTCTCAATTTCTCTGATCTAGCCATCAACTATTAAAAGCTATCTACTAAATTTACATATAGGATTATAAATTGACGGCTAAGGCGTATGAATGTTATTTCAAAAGAAATTACAGAGATTTTTAAAAAAATATTATGATTATTATTATTATCATTGCTGTTGTTATTCTCCTTTCTAAATAACAACGCAAGGCTGCGCCTTATAGAAATCGTAGAGTGGGGAGAGTACAACTGTTAAAAATTCAAGTAATTAAAATTTAACTAATGAAATTTCATTGACTTTCTGTCTTTCCCTTAAAATTCAGCGGCCATATTTGCAGCAGTAGGTTGCATTTTCGTCGCTCCTCGTGTTTCGTCTTTAGCAGCGGAAGTTTTTATTTTCAGGTGCTGAAACAAGTTTTATTATTTAGCCCACATCAGTAGGAATACGTAGACACTAATGTTTTGGTTCTACGACCAACGGTTCATTAATTACGGATTCATTAATTTCTCAGTTTAACATCCAACGGGGCTGAACCTTAAATTGCTTTTGAGCGACCGCCGGAAGCCGAATCATATTGAATTTTATATCGCTGGAAAGAGGACCTTACAAGGAGTATTTACAGACCAGTTTCAAGACAATTGGTTAATTATACCGCTAGTAATTAATTTTTAAAGTAAGTGATTCTGCAGCCACGAGGTGTCCGTGACCCTCGACCTTTTCAAGCGATCCAACGACCACCTGCTGTCCAGCGACCCCCCGGCGTCAGCGACTTCCTTTCTATCAACAAAGGGGAAAGAAGACCAACAAAAGGGACTGTGTTTTAATTCGTCTTTTCGCTAATTAGGCAACTAACTGAAGTAGCTCTTCGGAACCTTCAATTTTGGACTCCTCATGTGACAGGGATTACAGGGATATAAATTTCAAATTTTTTGGACGACTACAACCCGAGTTTTCATTTTTTTGTGACTTTATTTTGGACAGGATTTTCACCTTCGCGCGCCTGTGTTTACGTACAGTGTTTACCTGATTTATGTCCATCTCTTGGATTACACAGTGACAATATTTGAACGATTTCTGCAGAAACTCATTATACAGAAGAAGAGCAGAGAAAATAGCGGCCAAGTGTCAATTCGCTTACCGCGGCTGCTTATAGATAGTGCAGAGAAGGTTAGCAACCAAGGTAGGATTGCCTGTTTCTAATTAAATCAATTAGTTTAATTAAGAATCGCATTACTTACTGGTTAGACTCGGCTAATTTTAGTCATTAACTTCATATTATAAAATAGGCTTCAGGTATAACACCGGATACTGTATAATTATCAAACTATGTCAATTTGTGTCATTTTGCGCTATCTAATAATATCTATTACTGCTATGTTAATTTAATTACAGTTTCTAACGCTACAATTTTGCTGTGATCGTGTGCATTTAATTTGTACTCTGCACAGAAGGCTCTAGCTCCCATTACAAATCTGTTTTATTTACCGCAGTTCAAACTGGCTCATTAATTATATTAATTGCCAGTATAATTCTCTTGTATCAGTATTTGATAATATGTTTTTACGGAATGCATAAACAGTAGCATTTCTTATCAGAGCATTATGATTTAGTTTCTCTGTACTTTATTCTAAACTTTTTATGTGTGGTAATTGGCTTACCAACGTGTTTTAATTAGGCAGTAATTAAACATAAATAGTAATACTATATTATTTGTGTGTATCCCTGTGCATATTATTTATTCCGTGAATGTATAATAGTACTATTACAGCATTCTGGTCACCTTTTGATTATTCTATTTTATTAATTAGCATTAATTAATTTGTTGACCATTACAAATTTCTTCGAATAAGAGCATTAGCGTTACTTAAAGTGCAAGTGTGTGTGAATTACGAGCAGAGTTAGTGTCACAGTGAAATTTTACTGCAGTGAAAGTGAATAAGTGATTATTAAGTGCTTACAGTGATACGTGTGCAAGCAATTAGTGCACAAAAAGTGCATTAGTGATTAGTGCTGATTAGAGTTAGTGTCACAGTGAAATTTTACTACAGTGAAAGTGAATAAGTGATTATTAAGTGCTTACAGTGATAAGTGTGCAAGTAATTAGTGCACAAAAAGTGTATTAGTGATTAGAGTTAGTGTCACAGTGAAAGTGAATAAGTGATATTAAGTGCTTACAGTGATACGTGTGCAAGTAATTAGTGCACAAAAAGTGCATTAGTGATTAGTGCTGATTAGAGTTAGTGTCACAGTGAAATTTCACTACAGTGAAAGTGAATAAGTGATTATTAAGTGCTTACAGTGATACGTGTGCAAGTAATTAGTGCACAAAAAGTGCATTAGTGATTAGTGCTGATTAGCACAAGTGCATTTACGTTCAGTGAGTGCATTTACGAGCAGAGTAAGTGTCACAGTGAAATGTATAAGTGATCTTTAAGTGTAACAGTGATACCTGTGAAGCGACTTCTGTGTGTCTCTATGTGATTTTACTCTTTGCATCAAATTCAGTGCGCCATCTCAAGTCCACAACTGTTTCTCGCACTGTATAGTGCAAGTGATTGCTACTATGACACGGCCATCAACCTCAGTGGCTGAGTACGACAATTCTAACTGCGACTCTGATCCGGCAACTCTTGCTGGCTCAGAATTAGACTATCACACAAAAATCAATAAGCTCTGCGAAAGTCTTAGAAAAACAGCTTCCTTACAAAGACGAGGCAGATACCTTCTTCCTTCAGACGTAAAGGTATCTCTCCTGGATTTGATAGACGCAGTGCACACTTTGGCACTCGAAGGTCCAAATGCCATGCAACCATCCGACCTATGATACCAACTGCCCAACGTATGGACGATACATCGAACGCGTCAGAAGGAGCACTCTCTATGAATAATGAACAAGAGCCCGAACAGCACGACAACAGCAACAAGCGATACGCGGGCCAACCCAAGAAACTTCAAGTGCGGAAGCTAATTCTAATCAAGCACAGATAAAGTGCACACAAATTAACTTACAACGGGCGGTAGCCGCGACCACGCAGGTAGTCCAGCATGCTATTCAATATAACTTAGATTTCTTGATAATTCAAGAACCTTATTGTCGCGAAGGGCCAAGTGGCAAGCAAGCCTACCAATGGCATGGAAAATTTTTCAGAAGAAAGCCAATGCAGAACAAGCACCACGGGCAGCCATTGTCTGCTGCAACCCCTCCTGGTCTCCATACGTA